AAATGAGGGCAAAATAATAGTCTTGTAATGTGACAACTAAAGAGTATAGTAGTACCTGCTACGTTCCTAGAAGTCACTGTCAAAGACAGTCGTAGCACATTGGTATTAAGACATATGTGGTGCTAACATCAGCGTAGTGGTTAGCTATCTCACATTTTTTTGAGGGTCGGATCGGTACACCCAGCAATCCATAGGGGAGAATGGAGGTTTCGATCGGGTCCACCTGAAAAACAGGCAGGCAGACCCGATCGGAAAATCCATGTGAAAGAGGGCTTCTTCCTTTAGGGTCCTTTCACATGGGCATTCCGTTTTTTTTCACCAGTTCAGTCACGTTTTTTCAAAGAAACAACAGATCTGTTCACATCCGTTTTTCACCCATTTACATCCGTTTTTTATCATTTCCATCTGTTTTTTCCATCCTTTACCAATGCAAGAACAGATGCAAAAACAGACCGTATGTCCATTCATATTCGTTTTTGTCCATTTACATCTGTTTATATCCATTTTTTGTCCATTCCAGGTTGTTTTATGGAAGAAAAAAAGTAGTGGTTAGCTATCGCATGGTACAGGAGGAGAGAACTAACCTACGGTTTGGATGACTCTTAACTGGTCTATGATAATGTCTTACCCTTGTAGAACACAGATCAGTAAAGTTTTTACAATTGTCAACCCAATCCTTGCTTCTATGTAGCACATTTTAAAGCACTGTGCTTTATAATGGTGAATGTTATGAATGGTGCTTCCATTGCTCTTGGTCTCCAAAAAGAGCTTTATGGCCACACAGCCAAAGTGTATTGTGACACATAGCTACTGTACTTCCCTAGCCTACAGAGACAGATGCTTCTTTTCAGTGGAGTTGTCCAATCAAGGATAAAAGTTTTGAAAACATTTTTAAAAACTTTGAAAAAATCCTGGGTGTGTCTCAGGCCTGGCGAAAGAGAATAGCCTGTCTATTGTATATCTATCTGCACACTTGCCAGGCAGATACTATTAACTTTTATGCAAAGCCAGATGGCCAGTCTGGTGGCTTTAAAACACAAATGTTTTCTGATTTCAAATGGTCAAATTTTGGAAACCAATAAAAAATATTTTTTTTTTTAGTGCCATTGAGGTGGTTCTTACCAATTTCAGCTCAGTTTTCAATTGTTTGGCTACTGGAAAAAAAAATGTGAGTTATGTCTTAAAAACTGCCCAGAGTATGCCCAGAATAATTTTTTTCTGGCTGTTCCTCCAAATCTGCTGCTTTTGGTTACACCAGCTTTAGGCCTCTTTCATACGGGGCGGACCCGTTTAATGGACCCGCTTGTGAGTCGGGGATCTCTCCACTGATCCCCGCTGAGCAAGTGGACGATGTGTCCCCTCCGCTGCTGCAGAGCGGACACAGAGCAGCTCACTCTCCTCAATGGGTGGTGGGGTGAAAACGGACCACCTGTCTGTTTCCATCCAACCCAATCTGACGGACAGAAGGGGAATTGCATCCCCATCCATCCCTTTTTTGAGGGTCAGATTGGTACACCCGGCACTCCATGGAGGAGAATGGAGATTCTGATCGAGTCCGCCTGTAAAATGGACAGGCAGACCCAATAGGAGCATCCATGTGAAAGAGGGCTTCTTTATTTAGGGTCCTTTCACACGGGTGTTCCGTTTTTTTCACCAGTTCAGTCATGTTTTTTCAAAGAAACAACAGATCAGTTCACATCCGTTTTTCATCATTTCCATCCGTTTTTTTTTACATCCTTTACCAATGCAAAATTGGACCTTATGTCCATTTATATCGGTTTACATCCATTTTTCGTCCATTTAAATCCATTTATATCCATTTTTGGTCCATTCCAGGTTTTTTTATGGAAGAAAAATAGGGGTTTCTTCCGTTCAAAAAAACGGATGCGGACATTAACGGATGTAAACAGATGATCATCCGCTTACATCCGCTAGTCCATAGAAATACATGGATGTCTATTTTTCATCCTTAAATGGACAAATGAAAAATGGACATACGGAACACCCATGTGAAAGGACCCTTTCTGTGATAGTTAGATTTGCTTGGTCTTTGTTTATATGTGGCAACATTCTTTTCATACAGATTTGACGCATTCACCTTTTTATGGGACGTTTGAACATTTTTTTCATTTCATTACCAATTTTCACACTTATCCACATGCGTTTTTGTGCGATTTCCACACAGCACCATAATCGCACCCCATTCATGCAAACCGCTAGTGTGTATTTTAAGTTAACAACACCCAAAAATCAGTTCGCAAAACGTGGTACGATGTGCAGATTCTGGTGTGAACAAAAAAAAAAGGGGTCCTGCACTATTTCGGTGCGGGTGTGGCGCGATTTGAGCCATACAAAATGTATGCCTCAAATTGCACTGCACAGAAATCGCATGTGATTTGCGCAGGAATGCAGTGCGGATCCTGCGCGAATAACATGCGTGTGGACCTGGTCTCAGTGACAATTCATATATGTTGCAGTAAGCCAATTACAGTTGCAAGAAAAAGTATGTGAACCCCTTGGGATTACGTGGAGTTTTGCATGAATTGGGCATAAAATGTGCTCTGAACGTCATCTAAGTCACAACAATAGAAGAACACAGTCTGCTGAACATAATACTACACAAACATTAGATGTTGCCATGGTTTAATTGCACATAACATGTAAACATTCACAGTGCAGGGAGGAAAAAGTATGTGAACCTTTGGACTTAATAACTGGTTGACCCTCCTTTGGCAGCAACAACCTTAACCAAACGTTTCCTGTAGTTGCAGATCAGACCTGCACAACGATCTGGAGTAATTTTGGACCACTCCTCTTCATAAAACTGTTTAAGTGTAGCAATATTCTTAGGATGTCTCTGGTGTGAATCGTTCTCTTAAGGTCATGCCACAGCATTTCAATCGGGTTGAGGTCAGGACTCTGACTGGGCCACTCCAGAAGTCGTATTCTGTGCTGTTGCAGCCATTGTTTTGTTGAATTACTTGTATGCTTTGGGTCATTGTTCTGTTGCATCACCCATCCTCTGCGGAGCTTCAGTTGGCGGACAGATGGTCGTACGTTTTCCTGCAAAATGTCTTGATAAACTCTGGAATTCATTTTCCCATCAATGACAACAATCCGTCCAGGCCCTGAGGCAGCAAAGCAGCCCCAAACCATGATGCTCCCTCCTCCATGTTTTACAGTGGGGATGAGGTTTTGATGTTGGTGCGCTGTGCCTTTTTTTCTCCACACATAGGGTTGTGTGTTCTTCCCAAACAACTCAATCTTGGTTTCATCTGTCCACAGTATATTTTGCCAGTAGTGCTGTGGAACATCCAGGTGCTCTTTTGCAAACTTCAAACGTGCTGCAATATTCTTTTTGGACAGCAATGGCTTCCTCCGTGGTGTCCTCCCATGTACTCCATTCTTGTTTAATGTTTTCCTTATTGTAGATGTGTCAACAAAAATGTTAGCATGTGCCAGAGATTTCTGTAGGTCTTTAGCTGACACTCTGGGATTCTTCTTTACCTCATGCAGCATTCTGCGCTGTGCTCTTGCAGTCATTTTTACAGGACGACCACGCCTAGGGAGAGTAGCAACAGTGCTAAACTTTCTCCATTTGTAGACAGTCTTTCTTACCGTGGACACATGAACATGAAGGCTTTTGGAGATACTTTTGTAACCCTTTCCAGCTTCATGCAAGTCAACAATTCTTGATCGTAGGTCTTCTGAGAGCTCTTTTCTGCGAGGCATGGTTCACATCAGACAGTGCTTCTTGAAACCAGTAAACCCAAAACAGTGTGTGTTTTTTAAGGGCACGACAGCTGTCAGCAACACATCAAATATCATCACACTGATTGGAGTCAAGGTTGGCTCACTCCTGGCTCCAATTAGCTCTGGGAGAAGTCATTAAGCTAGGGCCTCACATACTTTTTCCTCCCTGCACTGTGAATGTTTACATGTTATGTGCAATTAAACCATGGCAACATCTAATGTTTGTGTAGTATTATGTTCAGCAGACTGTGTTCTTCTATTGTTGTGACTTAGATGACATTCAGAGTACATTTTATGCCCAATTCATGCAAAACTCCACGTAATCCCAAGGGGTTCACATACTTTTTCTTGCAACTGTATATTGAATATGTTGAATTACTACTGCAGGCTTGTTTCAGTGCCAAAAGACAGGTTCCCTTTTCTGTAGTCGCGGGGCTGGAGCAATGAACCAGATGCTAAAAAGCATTGATCCTTTATAAAGCAATGAAGTAGCGATCTCTCCCCAGGAGCGAAATGTGTTGCTGTGCAATTACAATAAGTGTGCTCATTTATTAAGATTGATTAGCAATCCCAGGTTGTTCTTACTAATTGTGTTAATTATTTCTGTGGAAGTCTCTAGAAGTGCCATCATTTTTAATATGTGTGAATAGCAGTTCACATGTAAAGAAGTTGGGAGGAATGAGATTTTAACTGCCAGATGTGGAACCTGTATATTTACACGGTCTGTCAGCGCACACCACACTGAAATCTATTCAGTACATGACTGTTTATGTGAGTGGACTTTATTCCAGTAACAGTTCTTTATCTGTTTCCTGAATTTAGGCTTGTTCGCTTTTCACGTGTCACTGCAATACTGCCAAATAGCATGTGGATTTGTAAGGGATGGTTAAAGTGGTATTAAACTAAAACCAAAAATGTAATATAATGCAGTATACCAATCATTAGATGTGGTGGCTGCATTCGTTTTCTTTTTTAAGCTTTTTCCCTCTGTTTTCACCTGGTGATCAGATTAGTAACACACCTCTGGTATCAGAGTGTCCCCACTCTGGATGAAGGAGCACAGGGGGCACATCTGGACAGTAACATTGTCAGTCTGGGAGGAGGGGCGTATCAGAGGTACTAGAAGATTTAAGGACTGACCATTTGGAAACTCGGGCACTGCCCGAGGGCCCGGGGTCAGTAGGGGGCCCCATGAGATGCCCCTGGTACCTTTTTCATAGGCTTTTTTGAGTTTGGGCAAGGACACAGGGGCCCCATGATCCCTTATTGCCCGGGGGCCCCATGAGTTGTCAGTCCGCCCCTGGGTGGGAATACATGATTAGAAAATCGACCGATCGGTCATCCGATGACTGGGAGGCGTTTGTTCGTTGGTCGAAATTGTGGCCCACATGAACCAATCTAAAAAAATCGCTTGTCGGGCAATACGTAGTGTTGATGTCTTTCGTACATGTGGAAGTGATGCGGTGTGTATGTGACCTTGTAGCCACGCCCTTCCAGCCAGAACGAGCGATATACTCAACGATTACCAGCAATGAGTATATTATCGTTTATTACATGACCTATATACATAAACAGTGATACATAAAATATAATCTGCAGAATTCTGGTTTCATTATCTCATCAGGACAATCTACTTTTAACATTTGGATTTTTCGTTTGTGTTTACGAAGATTCCTTGGACATAAACATACGGGTCATCTTCTGTTTCTGCTCATGCGTGATAGCGCTTGATAGATTTTTTTCATATGACCGTCATACCACCGCATAGAAAATTGGTCATTCGTATGCAAAATGAGAACATTTTTCACTGTTGTTCAACCGTATTTTTCCGTTCACAATATTGTTATCGGTTAAAACATCCTGCTCATCAACGAAGAGAAAAGCGTTTGATCAGTGGTTCCGCTAAATTTTTTGTACGATTTTCTTATCGTGTGTACGGGGCATTAGGCTGCATTCACACTTGGGTGTTTTGTAGCTTGCAGCTCCAAAAAAGCTCAAACTTAAAAAATTAATTGTTCCCTATGGTGCCTGTTCACACCTGATCGCGGAACAGACACCATCGAGAACAATGATTTTTGTAAGTTTAATCATTTTTGGAGCTTGGAGCTTCAAGCTACAAAATGCTCCAGTGTGAATGCAGCCTAAAAGTGGTAGTAAAGCCTGTTTGTGTACTTGTATAATAAAGCTTACCTGTAGGTACTGCAAATATCTCCTAAACGTGCACAGTTTAGGAGATATTTACTTGTGTAGTATTATCGGCGCATGCGCTCTGAAGGAACGGCATACCTGTGCTATTCCTTCAGAGCTGTGTGCCGTAAATGGTGGCTCGCGTGCATACGTGAAGTCATCGCGGCCATTCATTTTTTTTTTGTAATAATCAAGTTTACTACCACTTTAACTACTTGCCAACCGCAGATAGCCAAATGACGGCTACACTGCGGCCGGCCAGTTCTGGGAGGGCATCATATGATGTCTTCCCAGAACACGCTCTCTTGCACGTACTCGGCGATCTCTGTGATCGTAGTGTCCTACGGACACAGCTGATCACGTGATGTGGTAAAAGGCCAATCACAGCAGCCTTTTACCACATGATCACGCTGATCACCGGGAAATGCAATTGCCGATTCTCGGCTGTGCTTTCCTCACGCTGTCAGAGCATGAGGAAAGTATTGCCGAGATCCGGCAGTTGTCAGAGCAGGAATCGGCACCGATCATCAGGGCACTGATGATCAGTGCCCTGATGATCGGTGCCCAGCAATGCCACCCACCTGTGCCCAGCAGTGCGCCCACCTGTGCCCAGCAGTGCACCCTCCTGTGTCCAGCAGTGCACCCTCCTGTGTCCAGCAGTGCACCCACCTGTGCCACCCAGCAGTGTCACACACCTGTGCCCAGAAGTGCCACCGACCTGTGCCCAGCAGTGCCACCCACCTGTGCCCACCAGTGCTGCCCACCAGTGCCGATCAGTGCAGCCCAGCAGTGCTGCCAGTCAGTGCCACCAGTCAGTGCCCAGCGGTTGTGCCAGTCAGTGCCCAGCAGTTGCGCCAGTCAATGCCTAGCATTGTATAATCAATCAATGCCTAGCAGTGCCGCCAGTCAGTGCCCAGCAGTGATGCCAGTCAGTGCCACCTATCAGTGCTATCTATCAGTGCCACCTATCAGTGCCGCCTATCCGTGACACCTCATTAGTGCCGCCTATCCGTGCCACCTCATTAGTGCTGCCTATCAGTGCCACCTATCAGTGCTGCCTATTAGTGCCCATCAGTGCTGCCTCATCAACGCACATCAGTGAAGGAGAAAAATTACCTGTTTGAAAATTTTTATAATAGAAACAAAGACTTTTTTTTTTCACATTTTTTGCACTTTTTTTGTTTATAGCACAAAAAGCAAAGTGCTCAGCGGTAATTAAATACCACTAAAAGAAAGCTCTATTTGTGGGAAACAAATAATAAAAATTTCATATGGGTACAATCTTAAATGACCCCTGCATTTTTGCTGCGTTCTTACTGCATTTTTGCTGCATTTCAGGTGCGTTTTGCACCTGTGAAAAAAAGTGACTAAAAAAAAAAAACGCATCAAAAACTCAACAGTGGGTTTGCATTCTTTACGCGTTTTTCCATAGATTTCAATGGGAGGTGCTTTTTTTTTTTACTGCACCAAACATGCACCAAAAGCGCAGCAAGCAGGACTAGTGTGAAGAGTTCCATAGGTTTTAATGGTCATGCGTTTTTCTTTTTTTTAATGCAAAATGGAAGAAAAACGAATCATTGTAAAAGCAGCCTAAAGACAGGCCTATGCATGACCTAAGACAACTCCGATTATCTGGGCACGTCCTGATAATATGATGTTGTCCTAATAGATGCAAACTGATCCTGTCTGTAAATTTGATGGTTTAAAAACTTAGTCTAAGTAAAACTTCCAAAATGGATGGATTATGTCTAAATATTTCACTCACTTGTATCTTTAAAAGATTCCTTATAGTAGTGGAAAGATTTGAAGCCATTGTCCTAAATTCAAGGTGATGCCAACTATTCACTCTCAAGGATTCTTTGGAGATGACAGGTGTTGAGAGAGCGCTGTACAGATTTGATGGATGTCGCGTTGTTTGGACATATGATGGATATGATGGATATGTGTTGTGTTGTGAGATGTGTCCTGAGGAGCTTTACTAGCAGCAGTCATATTGTTGTCACGGAACTATCTCCTCTCTGATTCCTTCACAGCAGTTCTCACCCTGCATATTCAGTTGATGCATTTCCCTTGGGTGGGGGCCTGAACGGCCAAGGTCTGCATTAGGTATTGACTATAAATTAAGACAAACTAAGGACTAGCTAAAAGCCTCTCTTATGCAGCATCCAATAAGGGCTCAGACTACACAGAAGATACATTGCAATAAATTCTGTATGGAGTGATTTATCTTTCCAACAAATGTACATACTTACCTAAACACTCTATACTGTAATGTTTGGAACTTTTGGTGTAACTACGAATCATAGGGCCCCACGGAAAAATTTTAATGGGGCCTACTGACAAACTCTATGTAGCAGCTGGCTGTGTTTGTAGTGATGATACATGTCATTGATCTTAACATAAAGCAGTGTTTCTCAACCTTTTTTCAGTCAAGGCACCCTTTAAAATTATGGACAGTCCCGAGGCACCCTTTAAAATTATGGACAGTCCCGAGGCACCCTTTTAAATTATGGACAGTCCCGAGGCACCCTTTAAAATTATGGACAGTCCCGAGGCACCCTTTAAAATTATGGACAGTCCCGAGGCACCCTTTAAAATTATGGACAGTCCCAAGGCACCCTTTAAAATTATGGACAGTCCCGAGGCACCCTTTAAAATTATGGACAGTCTCGAGGCACCCTTTAAAATTATGAACAGTCTCGAGGCACCCTTTAAAATTATGGACAGTCCTGAGGCACCCTTTAAAATTATGGACAGTCCCGAGGCACCCTTTAAAATTATTTACAGTCCCGAGGCACCCTTTAAAATTATGGACAGTCTTGAGGCACCCTTTAAAATTATGGACAGTCTCGAGGCACCCTTTAAAATTATGGACAGTCCTGAGGCACCCTGTAAAATTATGGACAGTCTCGAGGCACCCTTAAAATTGTGGACAGTCCCGAGGCACCCTTAAAATTATGGACAGTTCCGAGGCACCCTTTAAAATTATGGACAGTCCCGAGGCACCCTTTAAAATTATGGACAGTCTCGAGGCACCCTTTAAAATTATGGACAGTCTCGAGGCACCCTTTAAAATTATAGACAGTCCCGAGGCACCCTTTAAAATTATGGACAGTCTCGAGGCACCCTTTAAAATTATGGACAGTCTCGAGGCACCCTTTAAAATTATGGACAGTCCCAAGGCACCCTTTAAAATTATGGAAAGTTTTGAGGCACCCCATTCATCCATCATTTTAAAAGGGCACCCCATTCTAAAATGTGAAAAATTAACAGTTTATATGATGCAGCAACATCCACACATGTAGGAAACCCAATGTTAGAGATGATTTTTTCTTCTAAAGCAAATACACTTTTGCACACTGATACTGACTAGTATTCCAATGTTTTCTCTTCTCCCTCAGTTTTTCTCCATAACCGAGCTAATGTGACCCCAGCACTGATGAAGAGGGGTGGGGGAGGGTCAAACTAGGATGCTGTGCAGGCAGCTGACATCCTCCTTATCAACTGATGATGTCATTGGTTATCAGAATGGTGGCTAGAAGGTCAGAATGGTCCACAATGAAAACCTGTGGCTTTGTGTAACTAAAAGGCAGGCTTGTTCCACCCACTGGCTTGTATACAAGTTTTGGGCAATTTTTTAGACATTTTGCCAAGGCACCCCTGAGGAAACCTCAAGGAACCCCAGGGTGCCTGGGCACCCTGGTTGAGAAAGGCTGACATAAAGTTCCCGGTCACACTGGGTGCAAATTGGCATGCGATTTGTATGCCATACGACTTGCAAATCACATGGCAAGTTGCACCCTATTGTCCGCAATTTCTAAAGTAGTCCATGCACTACTTTTGGTGACAATTGCATAGACATCTGTGTCAGATGTCTCGCAAATCGCACCTCAAATCGGCATGTCATCTGACTGAAATCATGCGACTTCACTGTAAGTCACACAATTTCAAAGTCGGGATCGACATGACAGGGGTGTAAATTAAGAGCAGGTAGCAGGGGAGCTGTCAGCATAGTCAGTACACTGATAGGGAGCAGTGCTTTGGATACAAGTTATGGTGTTGTAGTAGTTAAAAAGAACCATAATGATATTTTACGTTAGGACAAAATGCTCAATGTTTTTGCACACAATTACTCTTAAATTGTAATCCTAGTACAAATGTATTTACATTTCTTTGTAGAATTATAAACCTTAGCCGTCCTTTGGTTTCAGCTGAGGAGAAACTCTGTGCTTTTTGATGGCATTGGATATACAGGTTTGTTTCAATCTGTATCAGAAGGTTGGAGGAAAATTAATTTAGGCCCCATTCACACCTGGTGTTTTAGGAACTTGGACAGAAATGCTGCGATTCTGCCCATGATTCCAAATCGCACTGCAATGGTGGTAAAACACACCACGCATGTTTGGGTGCCATTCATTTTTAATTTCTAATGGCAGCTACATGGTTTTAGTGCATGAAATATTGCACAGCAAACTGCACCATGCAAAGCTTGTCACCCAGAAGAAGCTCCTGCTCCTTTTTGGGTGACAAGCTTCGTGTGATGTGGATTGTCACATGACAATCACTACAAAACCGCACTCAGCTTAGGTGCCATTAAAAATGAATTGCTCTCAACCACGCGTGGTGCATTTTGCCATTATTACGCTGCGATTCTGCACGAGATCCCAAAACGCCAGATGTGAATATATGATAGCCCAATGCTTCCTATTGCACAGAGAGGGATCTGTTAAAAGAAGATCTGACTTTATCCCTTCTGTGCTGGAACTTCACAATGTCATTTTCCTAAAAGCCCCTCTAATGCGACCCTCCTCCCACCTCAGGCCGCATAGCAGCCATGTGGGCTGCTGTGTCTCTTCTTATGCCATTGTTTTGGACATTAGAACATAGACACAAAATAGAATACATAGTGACAGACAAATCAGACAGTTTAACTTATTTCAATCTAATGTTTGTATATGTCTGGTGGAGGTGGGCGATGTGCACATTTGTGGGTTAAGCTGTAGTTGCATTTGGCTTTAAGGTTTTCATGAAGAGGGCACACTCCATGAAATGTGTTAGCCAGAACACTCTGACACTCAAGTCTGTTTACATCCGTCTGCCTATAGAGCTGCATGCAGCTTCCATTCATTTCTGCTTGAAAAAATTACTGGTGGACCTGATCAGAAAGCCTGTGAGAACTGGGCCGTAGTTCAATGGGCCCAAATTCCTGCAAAAAGACTTGGCTTTGCAAGCATGTGTCCAACAATACTGTAGGTGTGATGATCAGGTGTCTGCAAACTTTTGCCCTTACTTCTAGTCCAGGGATGTTCAATTTCTATCGCCCAATGCCCAGGACATGTAGTTGCAAGCGCCGGGCAGGTAGTTTTTTTTTAACATTTAGCTCTGCTATGGGCAAGCAACAGGGCTTACTTGTCAGGTGGAAGAATTCATGCAGCTGCGCTGCCGCCCGATTGCTTCAGTGCACCGCACTCACATACCCCCCCTGTGCACCTCTCACTGCTATGTACCCTTTGCTCCACTTGCCTATATGTGGGCCCAGGACTGCTGTAGCGGGGTGCTGACTGGTAAAAAGGAAGGAGGAGAGTGAACACAAGTCCGTTCTACTCCCCTTCTTGTCCCAACCTGGAAGTGACCTGTATGACATCACTTCTGGGTCCCCGTTGACGGATTTCCCCGCCATCGAAGCCGGGAAGGAATGCAATGCATTGCGATCTGCACTGCATTACATTCAGTGGAGCCCAGAGGAGACATGCAGGGTCTTTTAGACTGTGGATGTCTCAAAGAGAACCTGTCATGAAAAAAGAATCACACAGGGGACTTTTTGTCCCTTATGTGATTAAAAAAAAGTTGAGTAACAAAAAATTGTTTTTATTAATTGTAAAAAATTACCAAGTTACACCGAAGCACATAACCCCCTCTAAAAAAAATGTTGAGTTCCTCCCACCATACGCATATACAAACATAAACGTTGGGGTGCCTATGCGTGAAAACGGCAATTGCGATACACGTGTTACATATCGCAAGCCGCCATAAAACCCCTTTGATATTTAAATACGGCTTTGGTTACAATTTTTTTTTTTTATCAGGACAAATAGATTGTCGTGAGGGACAAGTAGATTGGGACCCTGATTTAGTCCCTTTGACAAGTAGTTTTTTCAAAAATGTCCACACCCCTACAGTCTGTGGTTTAAATGACTATGTTGTCCCATAATGTAACACTCGGTGTGGGAACCCAATGCAAAGTTTATATAGATAAAAATGGAGAAAGGAATACATACCGGGCTGAGGAAGAGGAAAAAGACACCTAGCTGCACATAAGACTACAGCATAAAGGTTTATAGTGCAGGCAGCTATTAGACTCTCAATTACACCGCAGTAAGCTTGTCAGTTTAACTGAGCATATGTAAGTTACTGTCTGACAGGTATCCAGACAGTGTAATAATAACAACCTATGATAGTATGTATGAGACGGAGAAGGAAGGGCGCACATTTTTAGGATGTTCTGTGCCCTTGTACTCTTTAATTAGGCTCTGAGACCTGCATATCCCACCCACTTTAATAAGGTATCCTTATAAGAAAAATTTACATAAGCCAGTTTTATTTTAAATATTGGTAATTATATGCTGAGAGTAAAAATAAAGCATTTACATACTTTTCCAGTGGTTAGCTGGATTGCCCACTCATTCTTGCCACATGACGAGAGACTTCATAGATACTTGCTTATATTGTTAGAGGATATATTACATATATATTTAGCTTAAGGCCTCATGCACTTTGACAATTATTTTGACTCCCCTCAAAGCCAGCAGCGGTTTGGGCAAAAAAAAGACACTTGACGCTTGTAAAAGTGTGTACCTTGTTTACTCGCGTCAGGTGTTTGGACATTGTTAATTTAATTGGCCGGAATAGATAATTTATTCTGGCCATTGAAAAATTGGCGCTCAAACGCTAAACGCGCCTAGCATTAACACGCGCTTAGATGCATTTAGACACTTTTAAGCACATCAAACATTTTTTTTCTTTACCCAAAATGCTGCTGCTCCAGGACGCCCTGGCAGTGTTTTTTCTTTTTCTGCCATTAAACTGTCCTGCCACAAAAACGCTACTAAAATCCTAGCTATGTGTGCATAAACACATAGGATAACATGCAGGGGAGTTTAAAGGCAGTAGATTAAAACGCCTGACGACACTAAGAGCAGCTGTAAAAGCTTCCAGCGTGCGTGAGGCCTAAAGGAAAATTCCCCTGATGTTTAAAATTTTTATTAAGATATTAGTGCTAATCATGAAAACTTATTTTTATAAAATATCATTTTCAATTTATATCTAGCTTTGAATTTATGTAACTGTGTATCACAATTGCTTGGTTGTTGCCCATGTTTTATAATGAGTGACCATTTGTTAGCAACATATTGCCTCAATTGCTAGCGTTCTCCTACATATTGAAATATACCGACAGGGCCGGATCTAGCCTACTTGATCTGAGGGTGCAGTAAAAAAGTCAGGGCACAGAATGCCAACACTGTGTGTGAATCACTGGAAGTCTGAGACAATGTCATTACCTGGGAAACACTAGTATGTATTAGGCTATCATGAGACAAGATTGATTAAACAGAACCTGTGCCCCCTTTTATCTGATGTCCCTATTAGAGTCCCCTTTAACATCATGTGTTCCCATCAGAGTGCCCTCTTACATCAGGGTCCCTGTCAGAATGCCCACTAAAAACAGGATCCCCATCATCGTGCCCCCTTTATCAAGTGCCCCCATCAGAGTACCCCCTTACATCAGGGTCCCCATCAGAGTGCCCCTTTGCATCAGGGTCCCTGTCAGGGTGCCCCTTATATCAGATGTTCCCATCAGAGTGCTCCTTTACATCAGGTGTCCCCATCAGAGTGCCCCTTACATCAGGGTCCCCCTCAGATTACCCCCCTTATATTAGGTGTCCCCATCAGAGTGCCGACTTGCATCACAGTCCCTGTCAGAATACCCCCTTACATCAGATGTTCCCATCAGATTGCTCCCTTACATCAGGTGTCCCCAACAGGGTCTCCCTTACTTATGATCAGTTATCCCCATCAGAGTGCCCCCTTACATCAGGTGTCCACATCAGAGTGCCACCTTACATCAGGGTCCCCATCAGAGTGCCCCCCTTACATGGACTGTCCCCATCAGAGTGCCTCCTCACATCAACTGTTGCACCAGACTTGCTAATGCACTTGGAGACCTGAGTGGGCACAGCTAAAATCTGGGGGAGGGAACAGCCCACCCCATCATCCCCCTAGCTCCAGCCCTGTATACTTATCAGCCATAACTTTATCACCAGTGACAGGCTAAGTGAATAACATCATCCTATTATAATGGCTTCTGAAAGCCAGGGATACAATAGGCAGCAAATTACATAGTTAGTCTGGCTGAAAAAGACAATATCCATCCAGTTCAACCATTTAAAAAAAAAAAAAGTTCCTTTCTGATCCCCTGAGAGGCAATCGGATATTCCCTGGATCAACTTTACCTATAAATGTTAGTATCCAGTTATATTCTGTGTATCCAAGAAAGAATCAAGGCCTTTTTAAAGCAATCCAATGAGCTGGCCAGAACCAACTCTTGAGGGAGTCTATTCCACATTTTCACAGCTCTCACAGTGAAGAAACCTTTCCATGTTTGGAGATTACATTTCTTTTCCTCTAGACGTAAAAAGTGCCCCCTTGTCCTCTGTGATGACCTCAGGGTGAATAGCTTTACACCGAGTTCACTATATGAACCACTGATGTATTTATACATGGAGATCATATCCCCCTTTATGTATTATACATGTTGATCATATCCCCCTTATGTATTATACATGGAGATCATATCCCCCCTTATGTATTATACATGGAGATCATATCCCCCTCCTCTTCTCAAGAGAGAATAAATTCAGTTCTTCTAATCTTTCCTTATAGCTGAGCTCTTCCTTGCCTCTTATCAGTTTGGTTGCCCTTCTCTGTACTTTCTCCAGTTCCCCAATGTTCTTATTGTGAATTGGTGCCCAAAACTGAACTATTACTACTGATTTGTACAGGGTAATATGATATCTCTCTCTGGAGTCTTTTAATACAGGAGAGGATTTTGCTCGCTTTAGGAACCGCAGCTCAAAACTGCATGTCATTATTAAGCTTGTGATCTACCAGAATTCCCAGATCCTTCTCCATTGATTCCCCCAGTTGTACCCCCCCTAGTATGTATGATGCATGCGTATTCTTAGCCCCCAAGTGCAGAACCTTACATTTATCAACATTAAACCTCATTTGCCACATAGTTGCCCAATTAAACAGTGCATTGAGGTTGGCTTGTAAGTTGGAGATATCCTGTAAGAACGTTATTCCACTGCACAGCTTGGTGTCATCTACAAATACTGAAATTGTATTTATAACACTAGACCCTATATCATTTATAAATATATTAAAAAGTAAGGGTCCCAACACTGAACCTTGGGGTACACCACTGACAACCCTAGACCATTCATAGTATGAATCATTAACCACTACTCTCTGAATACGATCTTTTAGCCAGTTTTCTATCCATTTGCATACAGATTTTTCCAAGCCCGTAGACTTTACCTTACACATTAGCTGTATGTGGGGAACTATGTCAAACGCTTTTGCAAAATCCAAGTAAACCACGTCCACCGCCATCCCTCTGTCCAAGGTTTTGATCACCTCCTCATAAAAAGAAATCAACTTCTGTATTTCATGAATCCATACTGTCTGTTGCTTGAAATATTTTTTTCCAGCAAGAACTCATCTATGTGGTCTTTTATTAAACTCTCCAGTATCTTCCCAACTATGGAAGTTAAACTAACAGGTCTATAATTACTTGGTAAAGATTTTGACCCCTTTTTAAATATTGGCACGACATTGGCCTTACACCAATCCAGTGGTACTATGCCAGTCATTAAAGAGTCCCTAAAAATAAGAAAACAATGGCTTTGAAATGACAGAGCTCAATTCTTTAATGACCCATGGTTGTATGCCATCCGTGAACATGTGAACGTGTTGTTCTGAAGTTGATGTGTTAAAAGCACAAAAAATGGGCATTGCAGTTTGTTGTGTATGGGACTGAGTAACCGCTGACTGGCAGTGTGCCCATGTTGACCCATGTCCACAGTCAAAAGCGCCTACAATGGGCACATGAGCATCAAAACTGGACCACAGAGCAATAGAATCACATTTTATTTTACATTGTGTGAATGACCAGGTGCATCGCTTACCTGGGGAAGAGATGGCACCAGGATGCAGTATGGAAAGAAGGGTCCTGCTATTCATATGGATGTTACTTTGACACGTATCACCTACCTAAACATTGTTGCTGACCATGTACAACCCTTAATGGAAACAGTATTCCCTGATGGCAGTGGTCTCGTTCAGCAGGATAATGCTCCCTGCCACACTGCAAAAATGGTTCAAGACTGGTTTGAGGAACACATCAAGTCTGAGGTGCTAACTTCGCTTCCAAATTCTCCAGATTGCAATCCAATTAAGTATCTGTGGGATGTGCTGGAAAAACAAGTCTGATCCATAGAGGCCCCAACTCGGAACTCACAGGACTTGCAGGATCTGTTATTCAAGGCTTGGTAACAGATACTACAGCATACTTTCAGAGGTCTGGTGGCAATAATGCCTCTAGCAGCTGCAGCAACTGGCTACAGTGCTATATTACCTTGTGTGTGCAAGGTCTGGTCTTTCAAACCATACCCACTAAATTGATTAATTTGCCTGCACCCAAAATTCACTGCAGGCTTTCTGAAAATATATTGTGATGTGCATGTGAGAAAATTGGTTCAGCCATATGAGGTGCAAAACTGGAGGCAGCACCCACAATTAAGTCTCTGTGCATGAGGAAACATCATATGTTCTGACCACCAATATACATTCTGTACTTCCTGTTAGAAGATGGAAGCTGTCATTTTCTGCTTTATGGACTGCGTTCTAGCTCCGGAACACTGACTTCACTCACAGTGAATTTGAAAGTTTTCACCTTAAACTCTGATGTAAGAATTGATCCTCCATCATAGCCTCTGGGGACAGCTGTACTGCATTGTGATAGCATCCCATCTAACAGTAGTAATTATAACTTTTCTTCACTTATAGAAATGAGATTCAGATTCACTTCAACTGTGGGTTTGCTGTTAATCCTGTGAGGAGTTTGAAAGGTTCCAGGTAACTGATGTCCAAATTCACCTAGGCAATGCTTTTCCAACCATTATGAATGGCATATAAACCATGAGCAGCAGATTTAGAATGGCCAATAGTAGGACTTTTGGATAATCCACCTTCCCTTCCCCATTTAAATTTGGGAGCTCCGAGCAATCATAGTGTCAGTGTATTATTGGCTTGTGTAGGGAAAGAAAAAGGGAAAGCTGACAATCTGCACGAGGAGAGATTCAGGTCAGTAAGGCTACTGTGCTAGTTCTTTGTATGGCCACCCCCATTGCTGCTTTTTTGTTTGCTGTTACTATTGGGGACTTGGGAGATGCCTTTAGTTAACGGCATGCTTCTGAATCCTTTGAAAAAAAAATCAGTGCAAGAACTGTGTGCACCTAAACCACTCTATCAATCACATTCACTACATCCCTTATCACCATTGTAAGAATAAAAGATATGCATGCTCCAGTTAGACCTATTATCCATGTTCAAAACATCTCAGTGGACACTGTTTCACTTCCCTATCATCAGTATCATGTGCTGTATCCTAATTCTTATAGGCAGTATACAGTAGCACCTGGATATACTCTGTGTCTCTAGTACATATGGGGCTAGTCTTGCTCATTACAACTATCCTGATACTGGCCAATTTTATACCACTTTGTCATTTTTCTTTAATTCTTATAGTAAAACACCTGCCTGTGCTCTGTGTCTGAAGTGCATTTGGGCCTAGCCTTGCTCATTATAACTATCCTACTGCTGGCCAAATTTATACTTCTCTATCATCTGCATTTTAATTCCTAATGAGAGTTTGATGGAAATTGGGTAATGGCAGGAAAATCCTCAGTGTACCGTTGGCCAAGCTCTATCAACCAGTCAAAGCAGACCTATTAAACATTGAATTAGAAAGCATGTATTGCCATTAAAACTACCCCCAAAAAATCAATTCCACAGCCAAAGATATCCTGCCATAATATGCTGCTTTTGAAAGTTTCTTTGAAAATATAGTTCTGTAGTACTGCGTAAAGCTTTAAAGGATAAGTTCACCTTTCGTAACATGTTACATGTTACACCCATATTTAGGGTGTAACATGTTATGAGCAGACTAGCCCCCACCCCTTCTCCCCCTCGCTAGCTGTCAAATTAAAAAAAGATGTGGCCGTGCGGGGCTCCGTCTGCCTGGCTGTGTCACTCATTCATAGTATTCTGTGTATGGGAAAACTACAAATCCCTGCAGCCTTTGCAGCTGTCAGCTTGTAGTTTTCAATGAACTAGTGTCGTGGTAGCTCATTGAGTTTTCCTGTCAGTAGTGTCTTCTTGCTCGTATAGGATGTATGGTCACACAGATACACTGACAGGTCAGGGGGAGACCTGTATGGCTTTAAAGGCTTCGCAAACGAAAAATAATAAATACACATTTTTTCCCTGCAAAAAAATGTGCATTTTATATTTTTTTGGTAAAAGGTGAGCTTATCATTTAAGGCCACTTCCAAAGTTGAACCTTAAAGAATTTGTACTTTACTTTATATTACCTTTAAAACTGCATACAAATGACCCTCTCCCTGTTGTATTTTTCAGTTAGCCAACTCTGCACAAATGTTTACTTGTCCCACCACTGTGCCTAGTTTACAGTCAGGATTACCATTCATTCACTAGGTGCATGTTTTGTAATTGACCTTCTAATAGCAGTCACGCATGAGGCTTTCTGACAGTTCAGATGGCCACCAGAGGGAGAACCTTTAGTCCTCATGCACACTGGATGTTACAGCTGCTGTTTTTGGCTTTTGACGTTTTTTTTTTACAGCCAGTAAACTCCTCAGCATGTTATCCTATGTGTCCATGCACACATAGACTATAAACAGCGTTTTTTGGCTGGAAAACCCCCCCCCCTAAGATTTAGTGGGTTTCTAGAGGAGTTTTTTTTAGCTGTAAGAACACTCTAACACTGAAAAACACGGCATAACGCGGTAAAT